GCCACAGCTAGCATCCGAGCTGGACGTCTCGGAGCGGCAGCCACCGGCCCCAGAATCGCCGGGGGAGGACGGAGATGTCTCCTCTTCTCCGGGGACACCGCAGCGGACCGCTCCGGAGCCACTTTCCGGTAGGGATTCTCCGCCTCGCTCCCCCAGACCTGGTTCTCTGCCCTCCTCGCCGCCTCCTGGTTCCAACGCCTCTTCTCCTCCTCCTCCTGGTCCCATTGCCAGCTTTTCTCCTCCTCCTGGTCCTCCTGGTCCTCCTGGTCCTCCTGGTCCTCCTGGTCCTGCCCCCCCCGCCGGCTCTCCCCCTCCTGGTCCTGCTTCCACCCCTGGCTCTCCTGCTCCTGCCGGGACGGCGACGAGCGACTCTGACCCTCCGGCCAGCTCCAGCAGCACCAGGGCGGTGCGAGGGCTTGTCCTGCTGTCCTTTGCCCCTCTCGTCTTCCCCGCAGCCGTGGAGAGCTACTTGGAGGAGAACAACACACACCTGAGGGGCGCGCTGTCCACCCCACAGCACCGCATGAATGCACGCGCCAAGCTGGGCCGGATCCGGACCCTTCTCTCCTTCGTTGCCCGGGGGAAACCTCTCAACGCCGCCTGGGCGTTCATGCATGACCGGGAGAAGATCCCCGCCTTCCCACAAGCCCTGAAGGACAAGCGGAGGACCATAACAACCGTCAAGGTCTACCTGGTGAACTTCTCACAGTTCATGGACTACTTCTCCGAGACTCCGCCGAGAGGATCCAGGCTGACCAGGAGACAGATCAGGGCGGTGGGCAGGGCGGTCAGAGCGGACCTCGAGCAGATCGGAACCGAGATAACGCTCCACCAGATCTCCGTTAAGCGCTCCAAGGCGAAGCGGTCCATCACTAGGAAGCCCCTGCGGAAGTGCCAGAGCCTGGCCACGGCGACCATCCCTGTCCTGCTGGGGAAGCTGGAGGCAGAAACACCGAACGTCCAGCTCCGCCACAGGCTCTACGGCTACCTGGCCTGCTACCTGTCTGCTATCTTCGGCCACCGGCCTGGCGTGCTGACCAACATGACGGTGGAGGAGCTCCAGGAGGCGATAGAGGATGCTGAGGAAGGCAGCCCAGGCTTTGTAATCAATGTAAGTGGATGTATGAGAACCAGGGGCATGGAGCTCGGGGCAGAGAAGCATGTTCCCTGAGCTCCATGCTCCTGGAGCTCACGATCTCATCCCTTCTCAGTTGAGGAACCTCAAGACCAACAGGGCCTTCGGAGCTGCCCAGCTGTTCCTGACCCACGCGGAGTTCACCTGGTTCGTCCGCTGGCTGTCGATCCGGAGCACGCTGAACCCACCGTGCAAGTTCCTGCTGTTCAGCAGCAACCAGAAGCGGATCGCCAAGCTGACGCGGTTCTCCCAGTGTGCCTGGACGGAGATGGGGCTCCCAGGCCGGCCGACCATGACTGATTTCCGCAGCGCAGTAGCTACACACGTGGGTACCACATTCCTCTTAGTCAGAGCAAAGCACCAGGTTTTTTTTAACCATTTTATTCTGTTTTACAGGCAAGGGATGCACACAGCAGCGAGGTCAGAGGACAACTCGCCCGGGTCATGTGCCACGACACCAGGACTGCAGACAGGTTCTATGCCAACCAGCTCACTGCGGAACAACTGGCGGACATCAGAAGCAAGTTTGACAGGGCTACAGCGCCACAATCTTCCTCTCCAGGCTCCGGGGATAGTAGCCCACCCCTCCCCCGCCAAGGTAACTCTTCTTCGGACCTGGAATCCTCTACCAGCCCCCCGGGAGATTCGGAGAGAGAGACGGAGCAAACCAGTTAAAAAAAAGTTCAATAAAGAAATTAAATGTGAAACAACCGCATCTCTTTAATTACCTGGGCTGGGGGAGGGTAGGTTGGGGTAGCTCCAGGCCCTGACCTCCAGGAAGAGAACCGGGCATGGAGATCCAGGCCCTGACCTCCAGGAAGAGAACAGGGCATGGAGATCCAGGCCCTGACCTCCAGGAATAGAACAGGGCATGGAGATCCAGCCCGTGACCTCCAGGAAGAAAACAGGGCATGGAGCTCCAGCCCCTGACCTCCAGGAAGAGAACAGGGCATGGAGATCCAGCCCCTGACCTCCAGGAAGAGAACAGGGCATGGAGATCCAGCCCCTGACCTCCAGGAAGAAAACAGGGCATGGAGCTCCAGC